ATACATTTCCGTTGCTCCTCCTACCTCGGAATTTCACGATATTCTTCCATGGTACTTAATTACGCGAGTTCAATAATTCCCCGAGTACGTCTGAGTGGTTTGGACTCTTGGAGGCTTGAGTGGAGCCCTCAGTTGAGTGTTCCTTGAGATGTATTTTAAAGAGAGGTGGGTTCCAGGTTCGAGAAAGACCTGCCTAGTATGGGCCAGTAGGCTTCCTGCAGTGCTCTCTATTCTTAGTGTCATTGTGTTGTGATATATAAGTGATGATAAGCGTATTGTTCATCACAGTGTATTCCTCGTGCACTGCTCACCACACGGTGTTTCCTGTGCACTGCTCACCACAGTGTTCCTTGTGCACTGCTCACCGCACAGTGTTTCCTGTGCACTGCTCACCACACAGTGTTCTTTGTGCACTGCTCACCACACAGTGTTCTTTGTGCACTGTTCATAAGAACATAAGAACATAAGAAAGGAGGAACACTGCAGCAGGCCTGTTGGCCCATACTAGGCAGGTCCTTTACAATTCATCCCACTAACAAACATTTGACCAACCCAATTTTCAATGCCACCCAAGAAACATGCTCCGATGTGCAAGTCCCAGTGTTCCTTTTGCACTGCTCACCACACAGTGTTCCTTGTGCACTGTTCACCACACAGTGTTCCCTGTGCACTGTTCACCACACAGTGTTCCTTGTGCACTGTTCACCACACAGTGTTCCCTGTGCACTGTTCACCACACAGTGTTCCCTGTGCACTGTTCACCACACAGTGTTCCTTGTGCACTGTTCACCACACAGTGTTCCTTTTGCACTGCTCACCACACAGTGTTCCTTGTGCACTGTTCACCACACAGTGTTCCTTGCACTGTTCACACACAGTGTTCTCTTGTGCACTGTTCACCACCACAGTGTTCCTGTGCACTGTTCACCACACAGTGTTCCTTGTGCACTGTTCACCACACAGTGTTCCTTGTGCACTGTTCACCACACAGTGTTCTTTGTGCACTGTTCACCACACAGTGTTCCTTGTGCACTGTTCACCACACAGTGTTCTTTATGCACTGTTCACCACACAGTGTTCCTTGTGCACTGTTCACCACACAGTGTTCCCTGTGCACTGTTCACCACACAGTGTTCCCTGTGCACTGTTCACCACACAGTGTTCCCTGTGCACTGTTCACCACACAGTGTTCCCTGTGCACTGTTCACCACAACAGTGTTCCCTGTGCACTGTTTTACCACACAGTGTTTCCTTGTGCACTGTTCAAACCCCACAGTGTTCTTTGTACACTGTTCACCACACAGTGTTCCTTGTGCACTGTTCACCACACAGTGTTCCCTGTGTACTGTTCACCACACAGTGTTCCCTGTGCACTGTTCACCACACAGTGTTCCCTGTGCACTGTTCACCACACAGTGTTCCTTGTGCACTGTTCACCACACAGTGTTCTTTGTACACTGTTCACCACACAGTGTTCCCTTTTGCATGTTCACCACACAGTGTTCCCTGTGTACTGGTTCACCAAAACCCGTGTTCCTTGTGCACTGTTCACCACACAGTGTTCCCTGTGTACTGTTCACCACACAGTGTTCCTTTTGACTGTTCACCACACAGTGTTCCTGTGTACTGTTCACCACACAGTGTTCCCTGTGCACTGTTCACCACACAGTGTTCCCTGTGCACTGTTCACCACACAGTGTTCCCTGTGCACTGTTCACCACACAGTGTTCCTTGTGCACCGCTCACCACACAGTGTTCCTTGTGCACTGTTCACCACACAATGTTCCTCGTGCACTGTGCACTACACAGTATAACCTGCTCAGTACAGTTCTTCCTCTGTCTTGTGTTGACAATAGTTCGTGTGTAAGTCCTGGTGCGTAGCGGTAGCCGTGAGCGCCCTGGCGTATATTATTGACGCGGCAAGCGGCGTATTGTAGCCTCCGTGGAGGGAAGGGAGGGAAGGGAGGGAAGGAGGGAAGGGAGGGAAGGAGGGAAGGAGGGAAGGAGGGAAGGTGGGAAGGAGGGAAGGGAGGGAAGGAGGGGAGATCTACATTACAAATTACCTTCCCCCAGCCTCGCCTTGCTTAACCTGATTATTCAGAGGGACTTTCATTTTTCACTCTGGAATAATTAAAACAACAGCCAGTGTTGCTGGCCTCTTGCTTTTATTTAATAGTAATAGTAGATGCTATTATTTATTCTTATGTCAGAATTCTTTTATTTATTTTAAAAGTAGTAGTTATTTTTATTATTATTAATAAGGTCAGAAATTTATTTTGGATATTGTTTTTTTGTTTTATTTTCTTATGTGGCATTGTCAGGCACTTGTTATTGTTAGTAGTAGTTGTAGTAGTAATAGTGGTAGTGGTAGTGGTAGTTGTAGTAACAGTAGTAGTGGTAGTTGTAGTAACAGTAGTAGTGGTAGTTGTTGTAGTAACAGTAGTAGTGGTAGTTGTAGTAGTAACAGTAGTAGTGGTAGTTGTAGTAGTAATAGTAGTAGTGGTAGTTATAGTAGTAACAGTAGTAGTGGTAGTTAAGAACATAAGAACATAAGAAAGGAGGAACACTGCAGCAGGCCTGTTGGCCCATACTAGGCAGGTCCTTTACAATTCATCCCACTAACAAAACATTTGCCCAACCCAATTTTCAATGCCACCCAAGAAATAAGCTCTGATGTGAAAGTCCCACTCAAATCCAACCCCTCCCACTCATGTACTTATCCAACCTAAATTTGAAACTACCCAAAGTCCTAGCCTCAATAACCCAAATAGGTAGATGTTCCACTCATCAACTACCCTATTTCCAAACCAATACCCTTTCCCATGTCCTTTCTAAATCTAAACTTTCTAATTTAAATCCATTACTGCGGGTTCTCTTTGGAGAAGACATCCTCAAAGACCTTATTAATATCCCCTTTATAATACCTATCTTCCACTTATACACTTCGATCAGGTCTCCCCTCATTCTTCGTCTAACAAGTGAATGTAACTTAAGAGTCTTCAATCTTTCTTCATAAGGAAGATTTCTAATGCATGTATTAAATTGTTGTAGTAGTAATTTGTGTTGTGGTAGTTGAGTAGTAACAGTAGTGTGGTAGTTGTAGTAGTAACAGTGTAGTGGTAGTTGTGTAGTAGTAACAGTAGTAGTGGTAGTTGTAGTAGTAACAGTAGTTAGTGGTAGTTGTAGTAGTTACAGTAGTAGTGGTAGTTGTAATAGTAGCAGTAGTAGTGGTAGTTGTAGTAGTAATAGTAGTAGTGGTAGTTGTAGTAGTAACAGATAGTAGTGGTAGTTGTTAGTAGTAATAGTAGTAGTGTGGTAGTTGTAGTAGTTAACAGTAGTAGTGGTAGTTGTAGTAGTAACAGTAGTAGTGGTAGTTGTAGTAGTAATAATAATAGTGGTAGTTGTAGTAGTAACAGTAGTAGTGGTAGTTGTAGTAGTAACAGTAGTAGTGGTAGTTGTAGTAGTAACAGTAGTAGTGGTAGTTGTAGTAGTAACAGTAGTAGTGGTAGTTGTAGTAGTAACAGTAGTAGTGGTAGTTGTAGTAGTAACAGTAGTAGTGGTAGTTGTTGTAGTAATAGTAGTAGTAGTAGTTGTAGTAGTAACAGTAGTAGTGGTAGTTGTTGTAGTAATAGTAGTAGTAGTAGTTGTAGTAGTAACAGTAGTAGTGGTAGTTGTTGTAGTAATAGTAGTAGTAGTAGTCGTTGTAGTAGTAGTAACAGTAGTAGTGGTAGTTGTTGTAGTAATAGTAGTAGTAGTAGTTGTAGTAGTAATAGTAGTAGTGGTAGTTGTAGTAGTAACATTAGTAGTGGTAGTTGTAGTAGTAACAATAGTAGTGGTAGTTGTAGTAGTAACAGTAGTAGTGGTAGTTGTAGTAGTAACAGTAGTAGTGGTAGTTGTAATAGTAACAGTAGTAGTGGTAGTTGTAGTAGTAACAGTAGTAGTGGTAGTTGTAGTAGTAACAGTAGTAGTGGTAGTTGTTGTAGTAGTAATAGTAGTATTGGTAGTTGTAGTAGCAACAGTAGTAGTGGTAGTTGTAGTAGTAACAGTAGTAGTGGTAGTTGTTGTAGTAACAGTAGTAGTGGTAGTTGTTGTAGTAACAGTAGTAGTGGTAGTTGTTGAGAAGTAACTAGTGTAAAATAATGGTAGTTGTAGTAGTAACAGTAGTAGTGGTAGTTGTTGTAGTAGTAATAGTAGTAGTGGTAGTTGTAGTAGGAACAGTAGTAGTGGTAGTTGTAGTAGTAACAGTAGTAGTGGTAGTTGTTGTAGTAGTAATAGTAGTGGTAGTAGTTGTAGTAGTAATAGTAGTAGTGGTAGTAGTTGTAGCAGTAATAGTAGTGGTAGTTGTTGTAATAACAGTAGTAGTGGTAGTTGTAGTAGTAACAGTAGTAGTGGTAGTTGTTGTAGTAGTAATAGTAGTTGTGGTAGTAGTTGTAGTAGTAGTAATAGTAGTAGTGGTAGTAGTTGTAGTAGTAATAGTAGCAGTGTTGGTAGTAGTAGTAGTAGTTGTTGTTGTTGTTGTAGTAGTAGTAATAGTAGTAGCTGTAGTAGCAATAATAGTTGTGGCAGTAGTAGTAATAATAATAGTTGTGGCAGTAGTTGTAGTAGTAATAGTAGTAGTTGTAGTAGTAATAGTAGTAGTGGTCTGCCTAACTACCTGGAGTCTACCTGGAGGATATTCCGGGGGTCAACGCCCCCGCGGCCCGGTCCATGACCAGGCCTCCCTGTGTATCAGGGCCTGATTAACCAAGCTGTTACTGCTGGCTGCACGTAGTCCAATATACGAACCACAGCCCGGCTGATCCGGTAGTGGTAGTAGTAGTAGCAACAGTAGTAGCATTAGTAGTAGTAATAGTATTAATGGTAATTATAGACTTCGTTAACTAACAAAATACACTAAAGCAATGTCTGGTACACATCAATCATATAACACAGTGTAATGTTTATTAAGTGTTGTAATATCAGTGAGTCAGGTATAACTACTCCATGTTTTCCATCCCTAGGATGATGGGTAGGAGGCCGCTACCGCAGCTGCTGCTGCTGCTGCTGCTGTTGTCTGCTGCTGATGCCTCTACCACCACTACTGCTGACTCCAAAGCTGTTGATCTATCGACTGAGGCTGCTGCTACCACCACTACTACCACCACCACTACCACCACCACTACCACCTCGTCCTCCCTGGCTACTTCTACCAGCAATACTGAGGAAACTCCCACCACCACCACCACTATTACTATTTCTGCTGTGACTGCTGATGTAGCCACACTTGCTGACGCAGCTGCTGTGCCTGCTGACGTCAACCAACACGTCAGCGCTGACTCAGACAACACTCCGGCTGCTACTGACGTTCTCACTAACAAACAAGGTCGGTTTTCTTGTTTCTTTTCGTCTTTGCTCTTACTTACGTTTGTTTCATATCGTAAATATATGTCGTGCCGAATAGGTAAAACTTCCGGTTTTGGCTTAAATAGCAACGCTCTTCTTGCCGAATAAGGCAAGTGAAAATTTGTGTATGCAATAATTTCGCAAAATTCAGTCTGATCCTAACGAAAAAAATATATTTCATTGTATTTGTTTATTATTGAATTACTATAATAAACTTATCTAAAATATATTTAGTTGGATTAGGCTAAATTAAATTGCGCTTGTTATAATAAGGTCAGGTAAGTTTTCTAAGGTTCTTTTGGTACAAAATTACTTATTTTTACATTAACTTAAATGAAAAAAAAATATATCTTCAAATGTATAAGAGAAAACTTTAGACAGGACTTAATTTAAATGAGGTCTTGCTAATTGACCAATTTTACCTATTCGGCACGATATATATATATATATATATATATATTATATATATATATATTATATATATATATATATATATATATTATATATATATATTATATATATATATGTCGTGCAGACGCGGTACATTTGCACAGAGGAGGAGACAGAACACTAGCAAAAGTTAGAGAGCAGTTGTACTAACATTAGACATCGTGAAGGTCTTTGAAACAGCGATGTAACGCTACATTATAACCTTTATGGTACAAATTATCCTACATAACCCGCACCAACATGGGTTTAGAACAGAAGAATCATGTCTATCACAAGTACTAAACAACTATGGCAGAACTACGCAGGTGTTGCAAGAAAACAGGTATGTTATATTTTATACACAAATATTTTACGAAGGTATTTGTCAGATGTGATCTCGTGTTGACTGTACACAAAATGAAATAAATAGCTGGGAAGGTAGGCAGATGGATATTCAACTTTCTAACACATAGAACAAAGAGAAGTATTAAACAGAGCAAAATCCAGCATTAGAGAGGTAAAAAAAAATCTCGGTTCCCCCAAGGTACTGTCCTGTCACCTCTGCTGTTTCTCATCCTCATTGCAAACATAGATAAAAAAATCGTCACAGTTCTGTATCATCATTTACAGATGATACCAAAATAAGTAAGAAAATTACCTCGGTAGACTAGGTGAAGACACTGCTGGAAGATGTAAGAAAAGTCCTCTAGTGCAGTGTTATTCACTAATTTTTGAAAGAGAGCAACTTCGGTTAAACACATTGATTGAGAGAGCCGCAGTTACTGCAAGTTAGCGTAACTCAACTAAATTAAGTAGTAGTGAACTGCTAGTGCAATATTGTAACTGAGAAAAATTAGACATGGTAATATTAGCCTGCATATCTTGTTATTAATAGCAAAATAAAGACCAAACTTACTTAATGCTCCTTTTCTACTGGTCGGGTCTGGGATGGCTGTTCATCACTATTGTGTTTTTGTTTAACCACAAATCGATGCATCATAACGGACACTACTTGACTGCACTTTGGTTTCAAATAAAACTAGCGGCAGTGGGTAGTGGAGAACAACGCGACGTTCAGTGGTGGTAAGTTCCAACTGCTTAGATGTTATACGAATGAAGAACACAAAAGGGACGCTGTATAAAGAACTTAAAACGATCATCAAATAGAAGGAAAGGAACATGTGAAGAACCTGGGAGTAATAATGTCAGCTGACCTTTCTTTCAATGAACACAATAAGGCAAATGTCATTACAGTCAGGAAGATGACGAGGTGGATAATGAGAACTTTCCAAAGAAGAGAAATAGTGACAATAGTGACACTGTTTAAATCACTTGTGCTCTCTCACTTAGAGTATTGTTCAGTGTTGACGGTTCTGTTCAGGGATGGAGAAATATCAGAGCTGGAACAAATATAGAGATCGTTTACGGCCGGCATAA